TTAATAAGCGTGTGTGTGCACAGTATATGTATATATATGTATATAGAAAAAAGACTGGAAGGCTCAGCCAAAAAATCATAAAATGATCCTGTCTGAAAGGATGTGTTTCCCCTTCCTCTCTGCCCCCCCGCCCACCTGCCCACGCACCCTGGGGACCGGTTGGAACATTCCAGTGCTGACCAGTTGCCATGGGCTTGTTGGTGGGGGAGGGGCACTGGTGGAACTCAAGTGTTTGTGAAGTTTCCGATCCCTTGGTTAGGGGAGCCAGAGGCAGGGGGTGGCCAGGTGGCAGTCGTGGTCGGGTTGTGAAGCTGGAACTCAGCTAGTGGCTTCTCTGTCCTGCCTGGGCTGCTTGCTGGGAAAGAGCCAGACTGCACCTTACAAGCTTCATCTCTGATTTCCTCTCTGCAAGGGGCTGGTGAGCAATGACGTGGCCCCAAAGTGGGTAAAGGGCCGGGAAAGTACGTGGGGAAGGCACTGGAGGATGCTGACTCTTCAGGCTTCGGGGTCAGGCTGATGTGTGTTTGACTTTTGACTCTGACACCCCTAATTCTGTGACAGTGGCAAGGCTTTGGACTCCTCACTTGCAAAACTGGAGTAATCATTTTAGCCGGGGCTCCTTCACTGGAAGGTACAGAGACCCACTGGAGCCAGCTCAAGTTCAAAGAGATGTCTATCCTAAGAGTCAGAAACAGGTCAGCATAACTCAACTCAGGAGCCTGTATAGAGCTGGGCCTTGCCGGGGCTGTGCTGGAAAGGTAAGAGCAGAGTCCCCAGTGTCCAGCTCTCAGAGCGCTCCCCTCGCCTCCCGTCTCCTCTCCCCAGCTTGGCTTCCTCTGTTGTCTTCCACACGTGGCATTGGATGGCTTCCCCGGTGCCCCCATCTGCAGGATTTTCCAGCTTGTGTGCCTTCATGTTTCTTGGTTTAGATGTCTGAGATAGAGGCTGTTTGGCCCACTCCACTGAAGTTCCTCTGGTCAGTTCTCCAAGCCGCCGGATCCAATGGCCGCTGCTTTAGTTTCACTTTGTCTCGGCGGCGTTTGGAAGCCGTGCTCTCTTCTTGACTCTTGGTCCCTGGGTCCACACTTCTTTTCTCTCTTCACTTGCGTCTTCTCCACAGGCTCCTTTGCTTGCCCTTCCCCTCCTGTTCTCTGACTGTCACATGCTCAGGGCTCAGGCCTGGCCCTCGTCTCCATCTACCTTGTCCTTGGTGAGCTCACCTCATCCATGGCTGATGACTTCCAAATATAGATCTTCAGCTCAGACTGAGCTCTTGACTCATGTCCTCAACTGCCTCCTTGATATTTCCATGGTGATGTCTAATAGGCATCCTCACACATGGATAGATGTGAACAGAGCACTTAATGTCCTTTCTCAAATCCATCGCCCCTTCCTGCCATTCTCCCTTCACCTCATAAGGCCGGATCACCATGCAGCCAGGTGCCCAAGCTCCAGACCTTAGGTCCACCCGTTATTCTCTTTCCCTCACGTGCCATGTCTCATCTGCCATTAGGTACCCCCCAAATAAAAGCCCACTCCATCCTCCTGTCCATCACCACGGGCTCTCCCTGCCCTGCTCTAAGGGCCTCCCTTTTCATTCCCCTGTACCCCAGTCTCCACAGACCGGTCAGAGGAGCTTTTTGAAACTTGCACCTCCGCGTGTGAAGCCCTTCAGTGCCTCATGCTGCTTTCGGAGTGAAACCCGACTCCTCACGGTGGCCTGCCAGCCTAAGGATGGCCTGGCCTCTGCGCCCTCTGCACTTCCCCTCCTGTCACCCTTCTGGTTCCTTCCGCTCCCCCTCTGCCTGCGGCTCTTCCCCAGCCTGTGTCCTGCTGGGCCCTTTTCCCTCGCCTCAGCTGTCATCTCAGAGGTGTTTTCCCTCCCTCCTCACCACTCTCTCTTCAGCCCCAGGGAGAATGCGGGGCTGCGGTTTGAGGCCCACAGCACAGGTGAGTGAGATCAGGGAGGCCACCCACTGGAGCCTGACCAAGACCCCAGACTTCAGGCTGGCGTGTTTGTCCTTTAAATCCTGACCAGACCGGCACTGTCCCAAGTGACGAGGCCTTTTTTTAAGCCTTGGAGAACTTCTGAATGCATCTCACAGGTGTCAAGAGCTGGTTGCCACGGGGGCTGCTGCCTATGCTTGTCCACCACACCTCTGCGGGAGGATGCAGCCAGCAGCCGAAGGAGCGGGGCTGGGGCCCTTGTTAACTCTGGGCCTCTGAGGCTACCTGCCTGCGGCCAGTCCTCTGCGGGTGTGTGTGTGTGTGTGTGTGTGTGTGTGTGTGTGTGCCCTGTGAAGGGTCCTGTGGGAGAGTCCAGCGATGGGTCCTGTGAGGGGCCCTGTGGGGGGCTGGGTGACGGGCCACAGTGGGGTCCTCCTCTTTTCACAGGCCATTAGGTCCATAGGGAAATGGCTACAAATCAGGGTGCTGCCAATGGCCTGTCTCTTTTTAGACAATCTCGTGAAGCTGTGTCAGGGAGAGCAGACCATGGCTCGGCTCATAGCTTTGGACAAGGGATGCCATCCACTGCTCTGTTAGACACTCTTTACAGACCAGCTGACTGTGCGCAAGACGTTTTTCCTCTTGCCCCTTGGTGTCCTCATCTCTGAGCGGGGGTAACGAGCCTGCCCGTCTCCCCGCAGGCTGTCTGTTGGGTGGGCTTCAGGAGCGTCAGCTAACGTGGATCCGGTGCCTTCTCTGTGCCAGGTGCCGTGTTACCCGGATTCTTGTCTCCTCCTCACCACGGTCCTGCGGGCGGGGCACTGCCATTATGCCACCTCCCCGGGGGGCGGCTGAGGCTGGTGAGCTCAGTGAGCTCTGACCAGGGCCCCAGAGTGGCAAGCGGTGGGGAGGGAGGAAGCGGCTGCGTCCGGCTGGCCGGCCCCGTCCTGCCAGGTGTGGGCGGGCCAAGCACCATGTGGAGTGTTTTCTTTTCAAATCCTCAGTCACTCCTTCCGAGAGAGAAATTGTCCTCATTGTTCACATGATGACATTGAGGCCTCCTGAAGCCCAAAGCCATTCAGCCCGGAAGCTGTATGTCTTTAGTTTGAACCCAGGCCTGCCTGCAAGTTCTCTGAAAGATTTGAAAAGGAGAATTTGTAAAGCCGGGGGTTCCTACACCTGTCAGGTCTTAAGGAAGTTAAGAGTGGCTATTTTCAAAAGCCTGATGGAAGGCGTAAATTTGCCTAAATGGGGCTCTCCAGAACGTTAACATTTGCTTTTGGCTGGCATCATGTCATTCCAGGGCAATAATTTCAGCCCTCTTGCACCAGGAGAAACTGCACCTGATTATGGAGAATAGGAAAAAATTTCCGGGGTCCAATCGGGGACGAGAGGAGTGGTGAGATTAGGATCCCTCTACCAACAGGGAGATTCACACGAGACTCTCCCCGCCTCGGAACCCACATTCCACGTCCTGCCTGCCACTTGACACGTTCACTTAGGTGTAAATGTCATCTTCCTCATCAGGGTGGTGACAGGCCACCCACTGTCCTGGGGCAAAACTGGGTATACAGTATCATGATACAAAAGTCTCTCTGTTAGAGGAATATTGGTGTGCACTGCTCGTCTGCCTCAGAGGGTGCCTCTCTACCAGCCCCCCAGGATGTTTTATGAAGGACATTTGTCTTTTTCATTTCCCTGCCCAGTAGCCAACCCCCCCGCCCTCCTTCACTGTGTTTAGAAACACTCCCCCTGTTTATAGAGGTTGGAAGGCTAGGCTGCGGGTATATTGGGTCTCAGCTTGGCTGGTCACATGCACCTGGTGACACAGAGAAGCCAGGGCCCTGGAGAATTCGTCCTGAAGGCAGTGACAGCAGCTCTGTCTGGTTTCCAGGGGCAGTAGTGGTGGCCTCAGTGCCCCCTGCTTCAGCGGCAGTGTCCAGGTGATGATACAGCCTGAGGCCTCCTCCAGGCTCGTGGTGTGAGTGGGGCTCAGGTGATGGCTGCACAGCTCCTTGCCCTGCTTATTTCCTGAGCCAGGTCCTCTTTTCTGGGGATCCTATGAGGTGCCAAAGGCCTCTGTGTAAACTCCATCTCAACTTGAATCAGCCAAAGTCTGTTTCTGTTGCGTAAAGCTCAGAATCGGACTCGTATGGAGCTGTTGCTCTATAGTTACCCACGGCCTTTGATTCATCCCCCAGGCCCCTGACAGCACCGCTTCACCGCCTGAGCACCTCCACGGGGCACAGAATTTACGAGATCCTAGGTTGAGTGGGTGGCTGGACCGAAGGCTCAGCTGGTCTCTCTTTATCGTCTGTCTGACCCAGCTCTCGACTCTGCTTGCAACCTAGGGTGCACCCCTAGACCATGGGCTCTGTGAGCACAGCCCCGCGTGTTCCACCTCTTCCTCCACGCCTCGAGCAGGGCCTGGCACATAGGAGGTGCTCAGGAAGGTTTGGGTGGATGGGTAAAGGATCAAATGGAGATCAGAAAAGTCGGTGCCTCCGGGCTCTCTTCGGCCCCAGTGAGGCTGCCGCAGCCTGCAATCAGGCCCTGGGCTCGGGCAGGAAGGGAGCCACGGTCCTGGGATCTGCAGGCTGCCGGCGGTTCAGCGCTGGAGGTTAGCTGGGGAGACGGTGGGATTTAGAACAGTGAAGTAAATAGGTGGAGCCTTGGAAGGGAGAAGGGTGCCCCCCTTTCCGCTGAGTGGAGGCGGCATAGTTAGTGCTTCCCAGTCCCTTTGTGTCATGAAAGCAGTCTTGTTCATCTGGTGCCCAGCACCTGGCCAGCTGCCCCTGGAGCTGAGAGGCCCTGTCTCAGTGTGCCGGTCACCTGTGCACAGCACACCTGCAGAAGCGCCGACGGTGATAGAGCCCCAGGAGCATCCTGCTTAGCTCCACTGCCCACCACTCAGAGGGGCTACAAGACCTCTTCCGCCCTTAATCCTTGGGCTGCTAAGTTGCAGATACTCTTCCTGGTTTAGCGTTTGCCTTTGACTTTGCGATTCCTTTTCCTTTCAGTCCGTTCATTCTTGATCATGGTTCTCTCTACAGGAGATTCTGCACCCTGACCAGAGGAGCGTGACCCTTCCTTCAAATCCCTCTCCGGACGCACCCTCCTAGCATCCCCTAGGAAAGATGCGGCAGCTCAAGGGGAAGCCCAAGAAGGAGACGTCCAAGGATAAGAAGGAGCGAAAGCAGGCCATGCAGGAGGCCCGGCAGCAGATCACCACGGTGGTACTGCCCACGCTGGCTGTGGTCGTGCTGCTGATCGTGGTGTTCGTGTACGTGGCCACGCGCCCTGCCATCACCGAGTGAGGGACCTCCCCCCCAGAGCGGAGGCACGGGAGGGGAGAGCAGAAGAAGAATGGCTTTCATCTGCAGAGATTTTCCTGATGCTGAGCTCTGAGCCAGAGGACCCTGTCTTCTCTGGTCTGTGACTTGATTAAAGTTTCTCCACTTTTCTTGGGAGGGAATAGGGAACGCTTTATCAGTGAATGTGCCACACACCTTATGGTCCACTTCATGTGCCTTTCAGACTTCAAAGCCGTGTGTGTGTGTTTGTGTGTGTGTGTGTGTGTTTCTCGCCTACAATCGATATGTAGCTCCACCTGGTGAGAGGAGGAATCTCTGGGTCATGGATCAGTTGGAATCAGTGCTCACCCCATCCCCTTTGCTTTGAACATGACTCTTTGCTACACGTGTTCATGATTTCCAAAGGGACTGTATTTCTTCTCTGTGCTTCATGTGATTTGAAATATGTTGACTCAAAAGTGAAATATTTATTTTTTGAATAAAGGAGATAATAGCCTTAAACTGGATGTTTATCTTGTTTTGCCAGGAGGTGGCCTTGCTCTCCCGGGAGCACAGGAAGGTGCTCTCCGTGCGGGTCCCCTGGCTGGGAAGTATGTCCCTCTCACCTCCAGTCCTCTGGGCTTTCTCCGTCTCCCCCTTCACTCCCTGCTGTGAATCACTTCCGGTAAAATTGTGTTTTTTGACTGGCTCATTTTAAGATTGAGAGACTCTTGAGAGGGCCAGAAAGGATGCATAAATTGGACTGTTTCAGCAAAAATAAGAGTTCTAATTGGAATGGGACCACAACTGCTTTTGACACCAGTTAGCAAACAGCAGCAACACAGACGTGGTCCTGGAGGTAAAGGTCAGGCTTGGTTCAGTTCCTGCAGAAAGGGTACAAATTGTCAACAGTCCAGCTGAGTTTGGGATGCAAATTGGCTGTGCTGGAAGGGTTGCTTCATTGTATTTTAGGGCATCGTTAGCCGTCCTGGTGGCTGGTGGAGTGGGCCCCTTTTGGAAGTCAGATTCATGGTTACTGCTCTGAGGGTGTCTGCTCCTCTGTCATTGCTGATTAGGGGGAGCTCTGTGGGGAGACAAGTGCTTGTCTAATCTCGGTGGCTGCATGACTCGCTCACTGATTGCACAGGCGTGTTCTGGGGGCGTGGAGCGTCTTGGAGTGAGTCTCTAAGAAGACGAAGCGGCTGCTGCAAGGAAGGGCTCCAGCTGAAGCTCGGATGCTGGGCTGGGCAGGGCCGACGGAGCTCTGCGGGCCTCCGAGGGAGACCGCGTGCTGCCCCACGCTCACTCCAGTGCCTGTGGCCCTGGAAAGAGATTCGCTGAAACATTTATCAGATGCAGAGGCTGCTAGCATCAAGTTCCTCTTAGGTTTCCGTTTTCCTCCCCCTTATTTGGTTCTCTGAGGAGCCTTAGTGCTTGCTGGTCTGAGAAAGCCTGGAGCCTCCTGCCCCCAGGACGGCTCATTGGGGTGAAGGAGGGGGCGGGGCTTCTGCACCATCCCTGCCCTCACGATGGCCACTTAGCCACGAAATGCAGAGCTCCGCCCCTCCCTCCCCAAGGACAGCCTGTGTGAGGACAGCCTGTCCGCTCCAGAAGGAAGAGCCCAGGCTGTGCTGGGTCCTGGCCTCATCTGTGTTCAGTTTCCAGCCTACCCCTCAGAGCTGTGGATTTCCCAAACCCCCAGAGCTCAGTTTCCCCATCTGTAGTAGGCAGTCCAGGCACTTTCAGGGAAGTGGGCCTCTAGGGGAAACAAGGCTTTTAGAGCCAACCTGACTTTTTATGCAGGCTTTGCTGCCAGAACCCCTCTCAGTCCACTTCCTCCTGTGAAAATGGAGGCTCTCTTGCCTCATAGGGCTGTTGGGAGGAATCAATTGAAATAATACATTTGTGATGCCAAGTCTAGCACCTGGGATGTAGTAGTTACTCTGTAGTAATTTCTAGCATTTGACATGTATTCGTGTAATACAGGTAATGTATACATGCACTGTTTTCCACGTATTAACTCATTTATTTCTCATATAGCCCTAGGAGTAGGTACTGTTAGCGCTCAATTTTACTGCTGAGGAAACTGAGGTGGGCCAAAGGACTTGTTGATGTTATACAGCTAGTCAGCGGAGGAACCCAGGTTTGTTTATTTTAATGCTTTTGTTATGGGAAGTTTCGCACATACACAAAAATAGAACAGTAATACAATATACCTCACGTACACCTCGACCAGCTTCAGCAAACCGCAACACATGGCCACTCCTGCTCACCCATCTCCACTGCCCCTCACACCCAGACACCTTCCTGTGCACACGCACACCGGATTATTCTGCAGCAGAACAGGAGATGGGATTTAAACCCGGGCAGTCTGGCTCCAGAGTCCGTGCTCTTCATTATGAAGACCTGTTACCTCTTAATAAACACTAATTTCCCCCTCTCCACTCTCCCAGCCTAAAGTAAGCTTTCCTGCCCAGGTGTGTGAACAGCCCTCACTTGCCCACAGCTGCCGTGAACAACCTTAGATGCCATCTTTGGACCAACAGGCCGTAGTTTAGCTTTACCCACTGAGTGTCTGACACCCTGCTCAATCTCTCACCCTGTAGCGATCAAGGAGAAATACCTGTTTTGTGGGCTCCTTAGAAAAGCATCTCAGTATTCGTGCTTAGGACATTTCGGGTGTGATGTGAAAAGAGCCTGAGGTTTGGGAAGCAAAGACACGTGTGAATCCTCACCCCACCACTTTCTAACCAGATGACCTCAGTCAGGTCCCGTGACCTGAGCTGTAGTTGCCCCACATCTGTCAGGTAAGGTTCATTTTAACTATGTAGAGGATGTTGGGAGGATAAATGGAAATAAAAAAGGGGTGTGACATTGTTCCTAGGACATTGTAGATGCTCAATAAATAGCCATTCTCTGTTTGTCAGTGCGTTCAAACCTCACAGGACATGCATGAAGGAAGGCCAGCCTCCCAGGGTGTCACTTGCCAGACTGACACAAGACCTCACACTGGATGACAGATCCTGAGGTGCTTCTGGCCCTTATTTTCTCCCACTGTTTTTCTCTTTGTTGTCCATCGGGAAGCCTGGTGGAGTTGCACTGGATTTTCAGGTGAAGGCAATTACCAGGCAGGCTTGGTGAAAGCAGGCTGGAGATGGACTTCTGAAAGTTAACATAACTTTGATGTGAGCCCCCTCCTGGCAGGAACGAGGTGCCAATTTATTGTGGACTTGCTGGGTGGAATTGAACAATTCTCAGGGTAAACGGTACTCTCATGTGGAGGCACTGGGTGATGATTTGAGACACCAGCTTCCAAATTGTGCTCAGTTATTCAATGGCTTCAAGGCAAAACCGACTGATTTATTAGGAGTTTCACAGAAGGTCATGCTGGGGTTCTGCAGCAGGATCTGGGGCTCTTGGCTTTCGGGGTCCTCATTTCAAAGCCTAACATTTCTCGAAGAGCAAATTCCAAAAGAGGAATCAGATTAGAAACGGAATAGAAACCATTGTCATTGGTTTGAAAGGCGTCACTTGTTGTCTTTTAAGAAAATCATACCAAGATGTATTTGTGTATCTGCCGGTTCTAAAACCACCAGCTTTAATTCCTTCTCAGTCGGTTCAAAGGCAGAACAGCACACGCCTGTCTTTCCTTCCTGCATCCTTCGTGAGGTAACAGGAAGGAAACCTGTAGCCAGACTCATCTGTAAATTGGAGATGGTTTTTAACACCTGCCTCAGGTTTGTTTCGGAAGATGAAAGAGATGACTGTCTTTCCCTTTTCCCCCAAAGGGTCTTACATCATTATTTACTTGCTAGAGGTAGAAAAAGAAGGAAGTCAATTATGGCTCTTGGATTTCGTTTTGGAAGGCTGCCATCACATATATGTGTGTGTGTATGTATTTGTGTGTGTGCATATACATGAATATATTTATCTTTTATAGCTCCGTGTTGAAAATGCCCCACATGCTCTGTCACCGGAAGATGTCTGCCTTACTTTGAATGCAATTTCTTTTTCGGGAACCACCTTTAATTCTGTGTTCTCTACAACAGCGGTCCCCAACCTTTTTGGCACCAGGGACTGGTTTCGTGGAAGACAATCTTTCCGTGGACTGGGGGTGGGGGGATGGTTCAGGCGGTAATGGGAGCGATGGGGAGCGGCTGTAAATACAGATGAAGCTTCGCTCGCTCACTGCTCACCTCCTGCTGTGTGGCCTGGTTCCTAACAGGCCGCGGACTGGTAGTGGTCTGAGGCCCTGGGGTTGGGGACCCCTGCTCGACAATATTTGTCATGGACTTGCTTAAGCATTAAAAATCAGATACAGAATCTTTGGATCAAGGAGATAGATGAGTACCTTCCTCAGCCCTTCCAGAACATCTGTACTAGGATTGGGTAGGGGCTTGCACATCCTCGGAGGCCTGTCCCACCTGCCCCCGTGCTTCAGAGATCAGGGAAGAGCAGTTGTGCACGTATGTTCTGCCTCACCCACTGCATCAGGCTTAATTTTTCCTTATGAGTCTATGTCGTGCAGTAGCCAGGCTGTCCTCTTCTGTTCTGAGTATTTTCTCATTACTCTACAAGGCAAATGTTTCTGACTTCAGAGTATGTCAGTTGGGTCATCTGTATTATCCCCCCGCCTGCCAGTTCTGTGGAAAGGAGCCAGTCTTTTCAAAAAGCTTTTAATCACTTGAGCTGTTGAGTAATAACTTCAGGAAGGCAGACCAGAGTGAGCTTTGGGTGCTCAGTGATGCCACGGTTAAGGGTCTCTCTCCTTCTTTTGTTCACTTCCTAATCATTGCATGAAGGTTGTCTCTTT